AAATGTCTCTTTTAGTTAATTTAGGTAACTTCAAATAAAACTAAGAAACTCTAAAATGTACAACACATAATCGACATACATGATATTATCAGACCTTTGAATTTCAGTTAAATAAAAATACAAATGTATTTAAACTTTTATTTGATAAAATCATATTGGACCAACTCATTTTCATTTAATTGTGTAAATAGTTTTTTTAGTTGTTGCTAAATAAATTTATTGGAAGGAAACCCTGCCCTCAATTAAGTAATTTAATGAGTAATTTTTTTGAGTGTACTAAACACTTTAAAGTTTTCGCCCTATAATGTCCAACTCAGACACTATGTTTTCAAAAAGTTCTGCCATTTTTGCCTTTATTAGTACAAGACAGTATTTTTGTCAGAAACTGAAGTTGAGAGAATTTAAGATTATGATTTGGTAAGATGTGACTGGGGCTGGGTGATAAAAATCGGTATCCATATTTGGTCACACGTTACAATAAGGTTCATTAGTTAATGTTAAGTAATGCATTTACTAACATGAACAATACATTTACTACAGTATATATTCATGTTAATAAATGTTAGTTAATGAAAATAGAGTTGTTCATTGTTAGTTCATGTTAACTCATGGTTCATTAACTAATGTTAGCAAGCATGGACTTGAATGTTAATAATGCATTAGTAAATGTTTAATTATGATTTATAAATGCTGTACAAGTGTTGTTCATGTTAGTAAATGCATTAAATAATGAACCTTATTGTAAAGTGTTACCCAATATTTATTGACCAAACACCATTGTTAATATCGGTAAAATAAAAGATTCGGTATGTAGTTTCAGTATGAAGCTTTATAGTTTTATTAAAATATGGCTGCTGAGCATGAGCCTTGGAAGCAGTGCCAAGAACTTTAAGGTGTCATTTTCCAGGCGCACAAACCATCTGAACTTTTCCGAATGCCCTGAGCGCACCACAATTCATGCAAGTAAAACCAATCTGCTTCACACTTTGTATGGAATATACAGATTTCAGTTATAACAGCAGACTAATTACCTCAGAAAAACACAGCGCATCCAAACACTGCAGCGGTATTTACTTTTCTCCATAATCTTGTCATCCTCTGAAAAAATGCTTGCCACTTCAGGTCAGAATAACAACACATGCGAAAATGAGTGCGGTGGCTAGCAGCAGTGGGAAGATTGCAAATAAAAAAAAAGCAAATAAAAAAAAAAGATGTAAGGATGTCCCCAGAGTGGCTTTTTGGTTTCTTTTCTTGTGCATCCCAGCCACTAGCTCCCCATCTGAAAGAGTTTTTAGCATAGGGGGTAATGTAGTCACCCAACTTCACAATTTGTAATATTGTAGTTTGTATTTGGATAATAATGGCTGGTTCCTATACTTGAAAGCTTAGATTTGGTTATCATAATTTGTTTTGTTTATAGAGTTTGAGGTTTACTGTATCATTATTATTGACACCTAACAGATGTCGATCTACCTTAGTTGCACAAACTTTCTAACATTTTATTTATCAAGTTTCAAGAGTCTCTTTAACACTTATGTTTATTTTATTATGAAGAGAGAAGATATTTTGTTTAAATATTTTTTGTTTTTGGCTATTAAATCTTTTTGCCTTGTGTTGGTAAATTAGTTAGTTACTAGTGTTGGTAAAGTATAATATAGTGGTTGAAAAAAAATCAATCTTGAATGATATGAAACATGATATTGTGAATTTTTATTTATTTATATTTTTTGCATCATCGCCCAGCCCTAGATCTGACTCAACTTTGGACACCCAAAATGTTATGGTTTTATGTTGATGCAATGGCATTATAGGCCATCACTACCCACCAGTTTCAAATATTACGTCAACAGCTCACTATTAAAACAACAAAGGGGCTCTGTAACTTAGCACAGAGTTTGCATACATGTATTTATTTATTTATCCACCACAACTTAAATGTAGTTAAAAATCTGAGATGCAAAAGAAAGCACTCTATTTATCGCCACAAACTGAGGGGATCCAAGTTTTTCTCCACTGGAAATCAGGAGAAGACAAAAAAAAATCATAAGTGTGCATACTGGAGAAACAAAGAGAAAGTGAGCAACACAAAAGGGCGCAGTTTATTCTGCAGCCTCTTTCTCTCTCTGACTTTATGCTTTGCTCTCCCACACAAGTTGATCCACAATCTGACTCTGTGCTGAATTTTAATCACAACCTCTCCTACACAGTGGCCTGATCATACATACAAAATAAATCCCCACTCCACACCAGCCACCTGCCTTAAAAAATAAAATAAAATATAGGAGATACCGTGCTGCAGTGCTCCATACTGGTCCAATCCACCGAACGTTAATCTACACATGCTCAAACACGCATCTGTATGCATGGTGTGGTGTGATGAGGCCAGCTCAAGTGCACACTACAGACAGGAGTGATCAGAGGTGCAACGGAGAGGTCGATTCCTCAGCAATGCAGGGAGGGAGACAAACAACTTAACTGACAGTAGCACAAGGAGTGGCACACTACAATTCTGTACCACCTCCTCCTTTCTCTAGACTTTAATGGAGCATGCTGATGTTATTGACATCCTTAAAGCTACTGACAAAGTTTTTAAAACCCAAACATTACATCAATAGCATCAGTTTCAAAACCTATACAAGCCAAAAATGTACTGTATGTCATCCAAAACAAGGCTGTGCACCTTTCACAAATTAATTTAGTATTCATTTCAGTATCGTTTTTAATTTAAAATTACTTAACTGATACCTAAGTAGAAAAAAACAGGATGTAGAAAAGCAAACCAGTCAAAACAACCAATAGAATTATAGTTTAAACAAATGAAAGAACGAAATAAGGAAGCATATATATATATATATATATATATATATATATATATATATATATATATATATATATATATAGTACATTGTATATATATTGTTTGTTGTTTGGATCATTTAAACTATAGATCGATAGCGAGAGACAAAAGCTAATGGAAACATCTACAAAACTCCCTCAAATGATTTATTTGGATCAACTTGTTCTTAAGCCCCTAACACATCAACAGATTGCTGAGCAAACTACTTGGTTTTACTGATGCATTCCACGTGGTTGACACTAGTCTGACCCCTTCTGTGGCTTTTTGGGCCAATTGTCAAATTGGCATACGTCTGCAGCAGCACCATCGGTGAAAGAGAGATAATCTGAGTGGCTGTTGAATTTAGAGGACAAATCAGTACAAGAAAATGAATGCAAAAGTAATGAAAGCGGGCAAAGACTTCAGTGCGACAGAAAGAAGACGGCTCTAATTTCTCTTACTTCTCTTATGCAGGCACAGAATGTACCTGCTAGTTGGCCATTGACTATAGTATTTGTGGTGTATTTAAGAGCAACTTTTTTGCTCCGCCAGCAATACTTCATTATCAGTTTGGTGTATCTTAGCTTAATTTACAGCAAAATAAAGCTAAATTTCATAGAACTTCCTAACTCTCCACAAATCTTCACCGTCATAGTCTGCTCTGTTTTAATATCAGAAAAGTTATTCGATTTGTGACAGATTTAGTATGCTAATTCTCTCCCAGAGTCCCATGACATTAGCCTGTCACTCTGCCAATGGCCCAGCAGCACGAGTCTGTCCAGATAAGAGTCTGTCGGCTTATGTAACGTTCAGGCTCGATGGCACAGCCAGCTGCCTGTCCGATGGCCTGGAAACAGTCCTATTGTGACAGACTGTTGCACTCAATTTCAGTTTTGTAAGACAGACGGAGTGTGAACAGGGGAGATACCCTCTGAAAAGGTGATTTTTATTCTTTGGTTCCTGACTCCTTAGAAAACTTAGTTCTGCATCAACATTAATGTAATCTAAATCAGTGGTCCCCAACCACCGGGCCGCACAAGAAATGGTTAATTATTTCCGTTTTATTTATTATCCGAGTCTGAAGGATCTTCTATTTTAAAAGATCTTTTATTTTTTAAGATACTGTAGACTCTTACTTACATCTCAGTCACTTGACAGCCTAAATTTAAACCACAAGCTTGCAAAATGAGTAAGAAGCCGGTGTTTTTGGAAAGTTTCTTTGCGAAGGGGAAAAGGCCTAGTGAAGGATTCGTGAACTACAAAGGAATGGATCGGCAACCCATTTGTCAACAAATCAGGTGAAACCACCATGTCTGTGCAAGAAGAAGATCAACTGCTGGAGATCGCAAATGACAGCGGCCTTTTAGGGGCCATTCGCATATTGCATCTTTTTTTGCGCGCACGTTTTTATTTTCCAATTGGGCGTGACGTGCTCATGCCTTCCTGACGCACCTAGTTGATTAAATGCTATGAGCGCACCGTGAGTCACATGACAATAACTGACCAATCAGCTTTATAATTTGTATGGAATATATGCATCCATATAAACCCCTCCACTTTGCCCCCGGTCTGTGGTAAAATGGTCAAGCGCTGACCAGTCCGTGGTAATAAAAAGGTCGGGACCACTGATCTAAATGATGATATGAGATCAAAAACATAGCACAAATGGTGCAAACCTTTGTAAGCGAACCTTTGTAAGTAAGTGTGTGTAGTTCCACTATCCATCCAGTTTCATTGAATATTCTAGTACAGACAGCCCTCATACTTGCTTTAAAGTTCTGCCATGTTTGGCTAACACTTTTACACTATTTCAAAATTGCATTTTGCAATGATTTTTTCCTGTGTAGGACAAAAAAGGATATATTCTGAGGAAATTTTCTACAAATGAGCAATTGACCAACCTGTGGAAGTTGGCTTCTAACTAGCCTGAAGATGTCTGGAATAAGGTTGTGTCCCATAGAAGATTTAGGATGGCAAAAGGTTAAGTAAATTACAATTTCTATTTAATTTAGCACTTTGCACACCAACATACACTTGTTATGGTATGCAATTACTCTTAGACAGCAAATACCGATTGATAGTTTTCCAACCAGCCACCTTCAAGACTGTAGATACTGAACTTTACAGTAGTTCCTCAGCTATGCAGTAAAAGGCCTGTACTTACTGTCTTGGCAGAGTGCTTCCCAAACTGGTAGTGGCAACGTCTCGTTCTCGTTTTCGTTCTCCCTCTCTGTCCGTGGAAATGGATCCAGCTGACAGGCTTTGGCCGAGCCTAGTGTGCGTGTTGGCAATGATGCGGCGGTCCCGGGGTGGCACAGGTGGAGGTGGGGGTGGGGGCGCCGGAGCCGGTATAGGTATTGGGATGGGCCCACTGTTGTGGATCTGATTGGTGTAGGCGTTGGTGGAAGTTGCAGCGTGAGAAGTGGGTGGTGGGGCAGGGTGAATGGGAGGTGGAGGTGGAGGTGGGCAGGGCTGTCGGTCCAGTCTTAGGTCTTTGTTTTCCTGGCTAAGCCGGTCCAGCTGCACTTCCAGCTCCTCAATGCGCCGACGCTGAGTTTCCAGTAGCTTCTGTTGGCTCTCGATGATGTTGTTGAGCTCCAGCAGGTACTCCACCGCCCTGTTAGGGCTTTCCGGGCTGCCCTGCCCAGCATCCATGATGACAGATACCTGTGCAACAGTCACTGTCTGCTGGGGCAAGTTTTTAGGAGCACTCAGAAGGAGGAAACTCTCCCCCCCACGTGGAGTGGGTGGGGGGGAGAGAGGTGGAATGTGGTGGGGTTAGAGATTGGTAACCAGGGTAAAATGGCTGGCAGTTTTAATCTAAGATTCCCTTAAAGTTAGATTCAACTTTGAAAGTCACAACACCAATACTGGACAAGGAAATGCCATTTCGGAAGTTGCATTCACATATAAAAGATAACTAGAAGAGACTTTGTTTGTCTATGATTGGTGTAAGGATGTGTTTTTATATGCATGCATTGCTATTCTTCTGTCAAGTGTGCCATTTTTCCACTGCCACCAAAGAATCATGGAATTGGAATCAAAGCTGGTTTGCGAAAAAGAATTTCATCAGTCTTTCAGCCACATATTACTCTCATAAGGGAATAAAAAAAGAACATTCATCAGAGTCACAGAACATTCCTCTGTACCTCAAGTCCAAGGTTAGGATGCGCCGCAAAAAGCAAAGTCAGCAGATATCCATTAAACAGGAAGGAAAGCCTATTTCCTTTTCGTCCATTTCTCTGATGCACATCCCCTTCCGTCTCTCTTTGAAATGTGGACTTGAAGCACTGCAGCTGTTTTCTGGCTGTCTATTCATGACTCATATTCTAGACTGAAGTGTTTGGGAGACATTTCCATTAGGAGTAATTCTATTCCAGAAGTGACGGAGATGGAAAGGTAGAGAGAAAAAGAGATGGAGAGAGACCAAAGTTTTTCTGATAAATCCACTGCAATACTAAATTGGCTTCTGGGAGGTGTGCGCATGCCTCTCACAACAACCCTGTCCCCCCTTCTCTCTTCGTTGCACGCTCATTACAACATCAAGACCTCTCCATTCAAGCCATTATTATTGCCTATCATTGTGCATCTTAAGACATCACCTGGATTTCCCACGCATGATGCATTTCAACTGATTGAGAAGTCCGTTTTACACAATATTTGATTATTTCATAACACACAATGTTTCCTTGAACTTTTCATCATTTCTTATCTCCTCAGTTTAAAATAATTACAGCTAGCATTAATTTTCATGCACGCATTTGTCGTGTGGGCTACTCACGAGTCGTTCCACACTTACTGGCCAGACAGTCCTTGAAGACAATCGCGCGCCTCCAACGCGTACAGCTGCGCGACAATAAGGCGATTTGAAGAATGCGTCCCAAAGCGACGACAATAAAGTCATTTAGATCTCCAGACTCGATGTTCCGACGCAAAACCCCGAGTTTTAACCGAGCAAATGGTTATCGATTTTTGTCGCAGTTAACCGCACTATCAGCTAAAACAAAACCGGCATGAAATACAATCCTTTCAGCATGATGTCCACTGTCTGTTGAGTGTAATGTCGCTTTGTGTAATCAGCGCAAAAGGCGATCCGGTCCTGAAACAGCTGAGACGCGCAATACAGCGTACGCGTGCTCGTCCACAGTGTCAAGCCAGTGCGCGTGAGATCATTAAATAACACCCATGCTGATGGAGCACAGCTGTCACTACCATGTTTAAGACAATTTATGGAGATTGCGTTGCATGGTAACTAATTAAACTCCCCAAAACGGTTATGCCTCCGAATTTGTGACAGATGTCAAGCCTTATTGACGCCAGCTACTGAGGACGTTCGCTCATGAACTGCTCACATGTTGAACAAGCGTGCATTTCCTCCTGATGCTCCCTGGACAGCCCTGCACCTGCCGCCCTTCGCCGCCATTCGGTTTCACCGCAGTGTCCACAAGTGTCTCGATCGCTAGTTTCGCAGCATGTCGATGATGATGATGATGCTCAGCGCACCTCGCCGTGGTAAAAGGTAATGCGGGGGTTAAATTCATTTGAGTGAGTCAGAGAGAATATATTTTTCTTTTCAATCGAGGCTCTGACGTTGGTCCAAACATGTAGCGCTAGAGGAACATGCTGGGGAAACTGTGTCCCCATGGTCGGCCATTTTGGAACGCGGTAACATTTGATTAAACGAGAGAGCGGCTCTTTGTGCCGATCCAAAATGAGTGCAGTTTCTTGCGCGCGCGCAGTTTCTTACGCTCTCTCTCCCTCTCTCTCTCTCCTCCACACACACCTCAAGACTCAAATCGAAGGCTGTGCAGTGCATTTAATCTGCAGAAGAAAAGCAAGCTAGCATTAATTTCAACAATGTTACTCATTCACTGCAGACTAAAATTAATACTTTATACAGCAACAGGTAGCCCACTACAGACTATTCTGTTTAATGTGATCTCAAAATGATGCCAGTGCTCAATATGAATATTTTATTTTTGTGTTATAATTTCTACTGCAGCAAACCCCGCGAACAAATAGATTTTGCTTTTAGCAGCAATTTTCGGACGTTTCATGTGCTGAATCACTCATGCTCTCACTCCTTTCAGCACCCACATTAAACCATCCATTTTTTCTTCCACCCACACGTCCTGCCCTCTCTTTCTCTCTCTCCGTGCCTTAGTCACAGCTGAACTGTGTGTGAGTGTAAGGGATGTGCTAAGCACATGCAGGAAAAGAACAGACCACCAGTATTTGTGGTTTGCTTTATCATTAAAAGTTCATCTGTGCAATAGTAGTGAACCCATGTTCAACAGAATTCCGCTGTTATGGACACTTAAAATAGAGTCCATTGATTCGATGCAGCAATACAACTAAACTAACAGCCACCTTGTCTCATTCAGCTACCTAGTCAGGCAGTTAAGGATTCAAAGTGACAAAATCTCAGAATGCACCACAAAACTGGTGAAAATAAACACAAAAATGCTCTCTTGCTGTTTTCACACAAGCCAGTTGGGGCTGATTTCTGGGTCCAGGATTAATCTTAAGCCATGTATGCCATTCTGCGTCATCGGTTCATCAACTCACTCCAGATTCCCTCTTCTTAAAGTTCATGGAAAACGTGTTCAAGCGTGAGAGTCTGCTCTCTGCATGTGTGAATTGGGAACGCTTTGCTCATATAGAGCATACTGATATCAACTGTTTATGTAAGAGGTGCATGCGGAGGAGAAAAGAGTTGCAGAGGGAAAAAAAACAGGGATGGAGTGAAATCCATTTAATTTCTTACTCTCCCACACAGAAGCCTTAATTATTCTACTGCATAATTCTCTGTGCATTCATCTTCATTGTAAATGCTATCTATCTATCTATCTATCTATCTATCTATCTATCTATCTATCTATCTATCTATCTATCTATCTATCTATCTATCTATCTATCTATCTATCTATCTATCTATCTATTTATCCATCCATCCATCCATCCATCCATCCATCTAGTCTTTTTTCTTGTGCTTATCACAGTAAAAGACATAAAAATGAGTCCGCCAGTTCATCTATCTTTCCTGTCTCTATAATTTCCTTAGCTTTGTTTATTTTCCTCAGGTGTTTAATTTTATTGTGCTTGTCAGTCAAACCTAAACATCTATTTATCCATCTATTTATTCATCTATTCATCCATCTACTCGCCTAAATCCATCTGCCCATCCATCCACATTTTTTTACTGTTCCCATTTCTTTTGTTCCTTTCCTGTTTCAAATTTGTCTTTCCATCCATCCATCCATCCATCCATCCATCCATCCATCCATCCATCCATCCAGCCTGTGTAATTTTAATCTTGTTTCACTTTTTTCTTTCTATTTTCTAGTCAGACACATTGATTTTTTCACTATTTGTCAATTCACTAAATCCTCTGTTTCACTATTGCTTTTTGTTTCTTTTCTTTCCATCCATCCCTCCTTCTGTATTTATTTGTACTTTTACCTTATTTGTCTGGTATTCCTTCCCTTTTCTTTCGCTTGCATCTTTCTTTCCTGTTTTTCATCTCTCTTGTGCTCTTTTAAGTCTCTGACACCAGTCAGAAAACGAAAGCTATGAAACATTGTGAAGATCTGAGCTTCAAAACTACTGTCATGTTTTCAACCCTCCTCATCTCTTCCTCTCTCTCTCTCTTTCTCCCCACAGGGCAACAGCAGCATTTGTTCTCTCACACTGAGCTTTCTATTCGCTCCTAAATGCTTTAGGAACGTTTCGTATTCTTTAACTATTCATTTACAAGCACCAGCGTGTTATATAAGGAGCTTCATCAACATGTCACATCGGTTTTACAGTCGATCAGATATTTGCTCTGCAGACTGTGCAGTGGTGTGGTGGCTTCTTGTGGTCTGCTCCAATTGTTGTATCGGTCTGACACTGACATTAGCGCTTATATGGCAGTGGCTGTGTTCCATTAAACTGGACATGGACCAACAGTTGGTTTGTAAAGTCATTTTCTGACACTCTATAGTGTCTGCCAAAGCAATAAATGATCATTCTAGTTTCTATGCCTAAAGGGGCTGTGTGTAGAATTCAGAAACCCTTGTTATTAGCCACAGAGATGGTCGGTAAGTGAACTGCAGCCAGCAATTTTTTTGTTTATGGTCACACACCTAATATTGCAATGAGCAATTCAATGCCCTATTATACCCATGCTGTTGAAGTCCATTTTAATTAGAAGTAAAAGGAAGTTGGAAACACAGAAACAAACATCCAGATGCCACTGCGAAAAACAACATTTTTATGAATTTGTGATGCATCTTTTAGTCTCTATCAGGGATGTCCAGAAATCTGGCCCAATCACATGGTTTCAGACTGGATCGGAAGCGGTTGCACAGAGTTCGACCTCTTTCATGATCTCACACAGAAACAGCAACGCATGCGACATGACATCACTTTGTTGCAGAGATGCTATTGGTTAAATGCTGGCAAAGTAGAACACGGAAGCAGCTTGAAGCGAAAGCGCATGTATATCTGCGGTCTGAAGGTAGTTGTGAGATATGTAAACTTGGGACAGGTATTTTCAGTTGAGGTGCTATTTGTTTTTGTATTTATATATATAAATATATATATATATATATATATATATATATATATATATATATATATATATATATATATATTTACTGTTGCACTGAAGTCCAAAAGTGAAGAATTTATGTTATTTATTCCTTGATTGTTCAAGCTACCTCACAGAAGGGCTCTGTTTGTTAACAGAGCTGTTGAATGTTAAAATAAGGCAAATTAAATAAAAAATAATGAACTTTCTGGATCTGTTTCTTTGCTCTTCTGTATTTTTTTATGCATTATAGAAGTATCATATTAGGTTTTGGTAGATAGTCAAGGGCAAAAACACCTGATAGGGACATCCCTAGTCTCTATCAAACACAACTAAAATGACAGCAGGGAGATAATGGCCGTTAACAAAGCATAGCGATTTGACTCAGACTCAAATTTATTATACCATTTGGGAACTAAAATTGCAGCAAGGTGCCTAAGCACAGGCCAAGTTCCATTACCAAATTTTAAGCATAAAACATACAATAAATAAATTTTCAGTTGCAATTCTCTCCCTGCTGAACTCATTTAATAACCTACTGGCCACCACAAAAAAAAAAAGAAGAATATGTAATTCTGTTTGTCCTAGTTAAGTCCTGATGGCAACAACTGAAACACACTGAACACTAAATACAATGGGTGATCTGGGATGCATAAGATACCCTGGGCTCTCTTAAATACATAATTTTGGTAAATGACCATTTCCCAGTTTGGTTGAAACATGCATAATCTTTGGATAATCTTGCTTGTCATTCTTACAAGGCTACTCAACCCGTTTTTATTTGACAGACTCAGATTACCATACCAAGCTATAATGCAGAAAGATAAAACAGATCTAATAAATTGTTTAAAAACAGTGTCATAGAGGTACAAACCCGTCTTTGTTGCACATTTTATAGACAGTGTTAGATTGGAATGTCAACATAATGTAGATAATGACCCCTAGATATTTATGTGTGTCAACAATTTCAATGTTCAAACCTTTAAAAGTCGTTATACTAGAGGCAGAAGAAGCCCTCCTGTAATCTATCACCATGCATTTTGTTTTATTTACATTCAACTGGAGAGATAATTCTTCCACAACAGGACCATGCCCAAAATTTCTACTTATGGAGGAGACTTCAATATCACTGAAACATCAGCATCTTTTATGATATAACAATTTCCGTACATACTCTGATAGTATACATAATGAACAGAACAGGTGAAAGGCAACAACCTCGTGGGGTACCAGTGGAACAATACTCTGACACACTGCAGATGTCCAACTAAACAATCCAGAATCCATTCATTCGTTCATTCATTTTCTTGTCGGCTTAGTCCCTTTATTACTCCGGGGTCGCCACAGCGGAATAACCCGCCAACTTATCCAGCAAGTTTTTACGCAGCGGATGCCCTTCCAGCCGCAACCCATCCACACACACTTTCACACACACACACACTACGGACAATTTAGCCTACCCAATTCACCTGTACCGCATGTCTTTGGACTGTGGGGGAAACCGGAGCATGCGAAGACAGGGAGAACATGCAAACTCCACACAGAAACGCCAACTGAGGTTCGAACCAGCGACCCAGAGACCTTCTTGCTGTGAGGCGACAGCACTAACTACTGCGCCACTGCCTCGCCACATCCAGAATCCATCCACAGGTATTAAGATCCAAGTTAAAAAGAGAAATTAGTTTCTCAACCAACAAATGTAGCTTCATAATGTTAAAAGCAGAAGTGAAATCAATAAACAACACTATGGCATGAGTCTTAGGCTTTTCCAGTTGATTAAACAGGTAATTCAACAGTGTAAGATTAGCATCTTCAGCTCTCCTGGTCTGTCTAACTGCAAACTGCAATGGATCCGATCAGGTTTATCCTTTGGCTGCAATAAAATCGAATCTTTAATAATTTTCTCTAAACACTTTATAACTAATGAAGTAAGGGCAACAGGCCTGAAGTGCTTTAGCTCCTGAGGAAACTTAGTTTTGGTTAAAGAAACATTAACAGATTTCATTTAAATTTAAGGAACCCTTTGTAACATAAAATACTGAGAAAAATAGAATGAAATATTTCAGAAAGCTGTTCCACACACGTATGTAGCACACTACCTCCAATATTGTCCGGTTACACAAACCAGTCAAAAAAAAAAAAAATGGACAAGGAAAGATTTTTTATTTTTAATAAGTGTTCTTATGGTCACAATAAATAGTAAAAAAAAAGAAAATGAAAAAAAGCGCAC